CAAAAAAAAATATTTATATCTTTTTTCTTAGACAATAAATTTAGAACTGAGCATTATATGCGAATTGTTGTCAAAACAAGATCATTGCTTGATGATTATATTACCTCCTTATATCATAATTTTGATATTTCATCGTTTAATACAAGAAGATAGTATACTCAATTTTTTCCCAATTAAACCATCTACTATCATGCAGTTTTTGATTTTAAAAATCTTGGGTGACTTCTTCTTTTGAGTGAATGATTAAAAATGGTTAAAGAAAAAGGAGAACCAACATATTGAAATTTTAGTTGGGAAATAAGCATACGGACGCACCAAATTTACATAGAAATCATAAACTTAGTTTTAAAATAATATGCTAAAGTAAAGTCTTTTACGCGTGTTTTCTATATATGCAATCGTAAAATTTACAAAAGCAAAAATATACAACTTAATGTATTAAAAATGTAAATTTCTTTTTCAAATCTCTAGCTGAAATTTATTAATTTTAAAATTCTTTCAGAATATATAGTATCGCCATCAAGTGTAATTGTGAATGAGACATATCTTAAATATAAAAATATCTATTCACATTTAAATTCTCATAAAAGTTAGAATTTGGAATTAATTAAAAACTGAAATATCTCTAAAATATGATATGTGTAGTGACTCTCTAATGTTAGTAACATTTCTTATCCTATACTTTAACAGAATTCGAACAAATTAGCATAGTAAAATATATTTTTCCATATTGCATTAATATATATTATTGATATTTAAAATAATTTAGATTATATTGCCATATTTAAAATGGAATCTAAAATTTTTCGATCATTAAAACTGAAGACATTTTACACTCGTTATTCGTATTTAGACTTAATATTCATCAAAGTACGCTTCTATGATAAACTATATCCATGAGACGACACATTTAAAATTAGTAGGGTCCCTTTGCTTAGATGCATTTATTTCCACACGATATTGATTTAGAGTTCTATTGGCCTTTATTTTTCATCTATTTTTGTCAACGACCTAGTTGGCATCTATATCTCTTTATATCATCATGAGTGATCATGACCTTGTAGACCTATCTTTGTAGTCAAAAATGAAAGACATTTATATTTATTTATTCACTGGTAAAAACTTCTTCCATTTTTTATTACTATCACCATTAATATGCTCTTTTTTGGATCAAATTATCACTAATATGCGTTATGGTTATGTTTTTTGTATTCATCTTTCAAAAGCTTTAAGACTTTTGAAGCTTTATTTATGACTTTTCTTGTATTGATCTTTCAAATTCTTTATGCACTAAAATGGGAAATGAAACACATTTCCCTAAAAGGAACGAAGCGTAGTATTTAACTTACCGTTGTAAAAGTCGTAGAAACCCACGAAGTCCATCTGTATCACAGGATGGATAGTCATACAGAGAGAGTGTGACAAGTAAAATAAACACTAAAGATATATATATATATATATATATGTATCTATAAAGACACGAAAACAATCTTACTGCTTATTAAAGATACAAACCTAATCAATTCGTATCCTATAGACTAAGCAAAAATTATAATACATTAGTACAAAATCAGTGGTCTATTACATGTATATCTCTTGTGATCTTTTAGATTAGTTAGTTAGATTATTTTATAGTAGTGTAAAATTGTATGATCAATATCTTTAAATAACACACAGAAATGGCTTGATCTTTTGTGCCTCTTTGAATCTTATCTCTGCTTATAGAGATCTAGTCATCTAGTATATTATAGAGTTAAAATTTATTATTAGCAGTCAAACGCCAAAGATATACACGATAAAAAATTACTAAAAAATTCCAGTCTTCTAGTAGCTAGTTTTTTCATTTTTTCAACAATAAGCAAAATTATTTGTATGATTATATTTATACAATATAACTAAAGAGAGATGAAAAAACCTTCCAAGTGTTCTTGACGACGGAACTGATGAAAGATTTGTTTTCATAAGCGATCTTAGAAGCCATTATTGACAACATCGACTTGTATTCGATGGTACCAACATTTATCTTCTCGTCAAGTTCTACTCTTCGATCTGTGCATCCTGTAAAAGATGTAAATGCCGCGGACGATTCCTCAGGCTTCACCAACTTTCCTGTAACAAATCCAGACTTTGTGTTAGTCCTGTGAAAAATACTTGATCAACACCATCCAGAAAATGATCTAAAATAGTCTTATCAATTTTTTCAAAAAGTTTTCCAAACCTAGATGATTTTTTTTTTATCAAACGAAGCTTCATTAAGTAGTTTATTTTGATGTGTGTGCTATAGCGTCTTACATATATAGTAATCCTTGTTCTGTCTCAAATCCGTTTGAAGTGTGATAAAGTATCACATTAGTCAAGTCCAAAAGTCCGTGGGGGTTGTTATATATTTGCTTGTTTGAGATTTTTAAAATGGTCCTTGAGAGGTTTGATTTTCTCGGGATACTATATCATATGTAAAAGAAAGGAAACAGCTTCAACCATCAAGTTCAAGAATTAATGTGGTAATAGAAATACATTGAGATAGTGAATAAAAGTATTCTATCGTTAGATTTCTTACCTGTCAAAAGATGAAGTATCAACTTGAAGAAGCCTCCATTTGCCGTAAGAATGTTAGGCCAATAGGTGAGCAAAGCACCTACGAATGCAAAGGGTTTTCTTATGAGTATTAATATCTTTTGAAGCAAAATGGCAAGGGCAACGATCAATCGGCTCGCGAAACTTCTCCGGATGCTTTTGAGCGTATCCGGTGGTGAATCTATGAATCGTGTGCTGGTAAAGTTGCGGGAAAACAAAAGGATAAGGAGATCAAGAACACTTGCTTTGGTCGGATCGAGCAGAAAATAACTACTACAGAATTTCATGTCGGTTCCGGACATTATCACAATATGAAAAGAAGAACAAACTTTGCCCAAAAATAAGAAGAAAGAAGTGATTTTGGTTTATTTGTGAGTCATACAACCTAGAGCGAGGCTACGTATTTATAGTGTTAGTAATAATTGAGATCGTAATTTTTTAGTTATTTATTTAACAATATACTGTAGTTTTAAAGACAATCATCAAACTAAAAACCCTCGTTATTCACGTGCAAAATAATATTTCAAAATGAAACTATTGGTTGACATTCTAACCTAAACGACCTTGCAAATCTCGAGTTCTTTTGTTTTAATTAACGTGGAAAACCAGGCATAAATATAATATGTTTCCTTGTTTCTTACTTTTAAAAACATATATTTAGATAAGTGAATTAGTAATCCCGGAAGTTGGAAATATAATCTTAAACCAATTCCGTTCATCTCTCAAATTTTCATTTTCTCTTCTTCCACTGTCATCATTCCTCATTTTCTCCAAAGGTTGTATATTCCAATATATACTGTAGTGGGTTTACTTTTGAGTCACCAGTTTCAGTAAAGATTTATATATGTTTTAATACAGAAAGATAGTATATGCTTTTGAGTCACTCGTTTTACTCTTATTATATTTGTTGTCTTAAGAATATTTAATACTGAAATATGACTAAATTAGATCTCAGATCTATAGACTTTAAAATTGACAGACTATATTATTTTTTTGGTGAAAACTGTTTTTTTTTTACGAAAAAAAATTATATAAATAAGAAATAGATATATTGGTAAATTTTATTTAATTTTGATGAGAAATATAAATTTTTATTTAGATTTTTATTATAATTAAATGTATCCTTGACTTTTGGTTTTCAAATTCAATAGCTAAATGCAGATTTTAAAGTGTTTAAACGAACAATATTGGAACATAAATTTACATCTAGATGTAGCGTTTGGACACAAAACAAACATAACCTTAGTGAATTAATAGTCCAAGAAGTTAAATATATAATACTAAATCAATTAAGTTCATCTCTCAAATTTTCGTTTTTTGTTTTCCACAGTCAACATTTCTCCAAAGTTGGTATATTCCAATATATCTTGTAGTGGGTATGTATATGATGATATTCTATACGGTAATTATTTTTTTACTAAAAAGTTAAGGGTTTTGCGGTTATAGAAATCATTTTTTAATCTCTACTTTGGTCTTGAAAATAATTTGATTTCCATATTTTCTGTAATGGAATATGAAGGCGTTGTCAGACTTATATATTCGACTACGCATTGAAAGATCTTTCCCGTCGTGATGCATGTTCCGCTCCCTTCAAACATGATAGGAAGGTTGATCCCACCAAATGGTGAAGGAAACACCGACAAGACCTCAGGTTGTGCATCTCCAGCTTAGTTCGATAAAGAGGCATTATGAAAACAAGATGATTATGGTTGTGGATGCTAACATCCGTTATTCTAAATGGGTATTCAGGAGTACGTTGAATAATGAGTTCAATGCTAAGTTTCTTTTGGTAATCTCCGGAAATTAGGCTGGACAAAGTCTAATAACATTCAAAGATGATGGAATATATTTCTATTTAAGGTTTATAGATAACATGGGTCAATTTTGGATTTATTTGATTGTGGTTTATACAACGTAATATTTGGATAAATGTGGATCTTAATCTAAAATCTATTTATACAGATCATTATTATACGATAATTAATATTAAACATCTAAATATTATTTACTTGCATAAGGCATGCATATCCTAATATTAAGAGAACACGTTTGTTTTTTTAATAACCTTTTATTTAATAATATCAATGTGGTAAAATCAAAATAAGGGTTTCCATATTATGACATATATGACTGATTGGTATATGTTACACTATAACGAAAGCAATAAGTTGATAAATTAGAATCAAAGTTGTCATATATCAAATTGATTATATCTATCAGATAGACTTAAAAAAAGATATAATTTAATTTTTGTGTTTCAATGTTTGGTATGTGAATTAGGTGGTCCGAGTCAATGTAACTTGGTTGGGCTTTCTTTGGTGAAAATATATATGAAAATTAACTATTTTGATACCAAATGACAGGTCTCAATCAAAACAAATGATCAGAATTGCAAGTATCATTTTTGGAAAGAAAGTCTTTTTGCCTTTATTTGTTTTGTTCCCGTCTTTATGTAAATAAATTATAACCTTTTGATCCTTACAAATAGAAGACAACAACTGAAGTGGGAATAAACAACTGGGTATTTTTCTCTCTCTCTTTTTAAGCAAATAAGGGAAATAAAAAACAAGTACCAAATGAAATCATCCATTATTTAGTCTGAAGACTTAGTACATATATCGAGAATTGGGTTTCCTCAACAAGCCTTGGTCTTTCTTCTGCATAACTTGAGTGTGACTGCTCTTCATATCATTACATATTGAATGGATTTGAATTTATTTCAAGCAATGAGGGCAAGTTTATCATCAGGAGGAGTAGTAGTAACAGGTCGAGCCAAGCCTCCCAAACGCGTGGAGTTGACATAATCACGTGGGAAATGGTCAGATGCACCAGGGACTAGTATTCCCACAATCCTCATAGACCTCATCGTCCAGTTCTCTTTGTACTCACTGCCTTTCCAAAACTGTATTATGAAACTCCTTATAAACTCCCACACACCATTCAACAGTTTCGGTATTAGCCACAACAAACTCATGTAGTTCGCATTCGGTGCATCTTCTGTTACCTTTCAAATCCATAAACATGTAATAATGAATATAACAAAAGGCTTATATATTCGGTAAATAACCAAACGCATACACAGAAATTTTAAGAAAGTCACGGACTCACGGTGCATTTTGATGTATTTTATCGTATGAGTTCGATAAGAACTAATATTAGGTAAAATAACATGCCTTCAGATAAATAAAGAAGACATATGCACGCAAAATTCATGCTTTTTTTTTCTTCTAGATTCACGGGTGACAAATGAACCACCCCATATCTCCAAAAATGTCATTCACCTATTTTGTAAATAAATATAGTGGTATTACTTTATGAAAAGGACTAGTATGACTTCTAAATATAAGTTGCCCTTTTATCTTCTGTTCAAAAAACGTTACCCTTTTATCTATCATGCTAATTTCATCAGAAAATTGACAGTTTTCCTTAAGGAAAACTTAGAGTTTCTTCATGCCACTTTAAAACTCCACATTTTTGTTCTCTTTAAAAAATAATGCAACAAGATAAAAAAAAAATTAATTTGATAGAGATGCTTTAATTTACCTTTCCTATGTAGAAACTGTTGAAGTAATTGCAAGATCCATAGTGCTTGTATAAGCATAAAACCTTGTCATCAAAGGGTACTCTAGTCACCATATCGTTGTTATAAACGAACCTTTCATACTCTATTCCATGCTTTCTCACAACTTCCTTCATGAACTCCGCAAACTCCTCATCCCCTATACGTGGCTGTCCAAATGTGTAGATTCCTTCTATCTTATCAAGTAGCTCATCCTCACCGTGAAATGCAAGAATCGCCGGAAACAGAGCAGCAAGTGCGCCACCAAGGCTATGACCTGTTAATATAAACTTAAGATTCTTGTCTCTGCCAAGCATGTCCCGAAGCTTCTGTCTGATAGTGTAGTAAGCATATTGGTGTGTGAGGCTTATAACTTCTTTGGGCCATCCGTTCTTTTGGAGACCAAGAGCTCTCGAGAACCCAGCGTGGACTTTGCCAACGTTCTTCATTTCATACCTAATCAAAATTTGGGAATATATGAGCCAAGAAAAGTAATTATATTTATGTAGATATATAAAACATATATAAGTAGTTACGTACCAAGAGAGGTCGAGATCAGTACACCAATCATCAGAGCTGAAAAGTTCGGTTCCTCTGAAGCTGACGACGATGAGGTTCGGATTTGTGCTTGACGCCTTGAACATAAAGGCTTGCGTCAGATTTCCTTCTTGGAACGCTGACCACAGATATAAAAACTAAGAAATTAGTGATCCTTTTTCCAAATGTTGTCTAGATATGTGCCAAACTATTTCAAGGTTCTTCATTATAAAAAAACGGTTCAATAGAATTTTCAAATATTATAGCTAAAAGCAAATCTGTTGTTGTAAGAATTATAATTTGAAGCAATAGGAACTCTGATAAGTTTTTTAAACAAAAATTTTATATGCCAATTAATCTCCTGCTTATCAAATAATAATACATTTTGATTGATGGTAACCTATACTGTATTTCCTCTGTTACATCGTTTAAGTAAAGATTTGATCAAAAAGGAGGCAAAGATTTACAATTAAAAAGAAAAAAGGTACGTTATTTTATTAATTAGAAACTTAGATTTTGATTTCTTCTAATATTTTTGATGTCTAAAAGATATTTAAATATGACTCAAAATGATGTGATTGCCATGTGACTGAGCTCTGAAGAGAAATACAAGAGAATAAATACGATTCAAAATAAACAATAAAAAAATGCAACAACCATATTGGGAAATTAGCATACAGATGCACCTAACTGAAATTAGCATACAGATATGTGCGTATAAATCATAAACCTAGGTTAAAAAATAATATGTACACTTAAGTTTCTTTACGTGTTAAATTACAAAAATAAATATGTACTATTATTCTTTCACATTTAATATATCTTAAAATCTCATTATTTTGCATAATTTGAATACATCTCCACTTATCGTCAATTAATTTTAAATTGGAAATCCAAAAAACTTAATAATATCTTAAATTTTCACTAGATCAATCTAGTGGCTGTACTAGCATACATTATCATCGTGTCATAAGTTTATGTTTGTAAGACCGAAAAAATGAAACTTAAAATCAGTTCTCATTCATAAGTTAAAGTCTTCAACTAAAATATAAATCTCTTTCAATTTGGTAGAAGAAACTCTATGTCAACTAAAATGTACTTTCTACTCTTTCTCAAATTTACGCCTCCTAATCTTTAACTGAGTACCATCAAATTAAGGTGGTAAAATATATATAATAACATTGAGTCCATTGTCCATATAGCATTAAGGTAAACCAAAATAGTAATTTTTTTTATTATATTATAACCTTTATCCCAAAAAATGCTACTTTACTGCAAAATTTAGTTGGAATCTACAAAAAGTCTGATATATTTGATTAAAGTTACTATTATTATTTCTACTTTCATTTTTTTTTTGACATCTACTGTTAAATTCATTAAAGTACGATTCTATTATATATCCGTCAAACAACACATATAAAATCAGTAGGGTCCGTTGCTCATTTATTTCAACATGATATGGTATACAGACCGATTTGGCATTTATATCATCATGATCTCGTAAACGTATTTACGCAGTATATATGATCATAAAGACATAATGAAAAGCATTTATATAAACTATTCATTGCTAAATAATTTACCCCTTTTAACTATTAGAAGTCTTTAATTCATTGCATCGGACATCTATTTATACCTGCTGCAAAGTTATGTTTGTATATGTATTATAAGAAAACATCCTACTTTCGACAGATAAATCCATAAAAAATACCGTAAAAACAGTTTTTTTTTTACGAATTTACAATGGTTTTTTTTCTCCTAGATCTATTGTGTTGGAAATTTAGGTCTGTTCGAAATTCGTAATAAATAATCAACCGACCAAAAATTTCAACAGATTTCGAAAAAAATAAAAAAACACTGAAAAAATGGTAATCCTTTCTGTCAGAAAACCTGTTAGAGACAGCAGTGTTTATTTGAAATGTTAACTAGACTTTGAAGTCTTTATTTATGTACTCAGAGGAGTTAAACTAATCCAAATCACACGTAATGCCTTAAGCCCCAAATGTTTACATAAAAACATTTCTTAAAAAGAATGAAGCGTAGCATTTAATTTACCGTTGTAAAAGTCGTAGTAACCCACGAAGTCCATCTGCATCACAAGATAGATACGGTCATACAGAGAGAGAGAGAGTGAGAAGTAAACAAACATATAAAAAAAATTATCTTTAAGAGATATCAATTTGCTATTTATTTAAAACTAAAATGTTAATCGAAAAACAAAATAATAGTTAAGAATGCTGGTTGATGTTTTTCTTCTTTTCTGGTATCACGATGATTATAAAGTTGAAAACCCCAGAGACAAGAAGAGCTATTTGTCAGATTACTATTTATCTGACATAATAATTCAAAGGAGAAAGATAAGAACTAATAAAATGCTTTCACAAAAAAAAACTAATAGAAAGAAGAAGAAGAAGGTAACCTTCCAAGTGTTCTTGACGACGGTAGTGATGAAAGATTTGTTTTCATAAGCGATCTTAGAAGCCATTATTGACAGCATCGACTTGTATTCGATGGTACCAACATTAATCTTCTCGTCAAGCTCTACTCTTCGATCTGTGCATCCTATAAACGAAGCATATGTCGCCGACGATTCATTGGGCTTCACCAACTTTCCTGTAACAAAAACAAACAAAGAAAAGAAAATGATATAATGCCCTTAAAGTTCTAGAAGACTAAACGAAGCTCTTGATGCAATATGTCATTACATATTGTCTATTAGTCTTTGTGCTATAGCGTCTTGCATGTAGAATAATCCTTGTTCTCTCACAAATCCGTTTGAAGTGTGATAAGTGTCATTTTGGTCAAGTCCAAGAGTCGAGGGGGTTATTAATATATAATATATGATCCTTAAGATCTTTGAAAGGATCTTATAATAGATTTTTCGGGATACTTATGTCATATGATATAGAAGGATCGATATAACTTAAACCTTCTTCAAGTTCAAGAATTTGGTAATAATGATTAGTAGAGATTGTATATAATGAGTTATAATTAGATTTATCACCTGTCAAAAGGTGAAGTATCAAGTTGAAGAAGCCTCCATTTGCAGTAAGAAGATTGGGCAAATAGGTAAGCAAACGACCTATGAATTCCAGTGGTTTTCTTAAGAATATAAATATTTTTTGAACCAAAATGGCCAATGCAATAATCCATCGACTCGCAAAACTTTTTCGGGCGCTTTTGAGCGTATCCTGTGGAGAATCTATAAATCTTTTGCTGGTCAGATTTGGGGAAAACAAAAGGAGAAGAAGATCAAAGATGCTTGCTTTGGTCGGATCGACCAGAAAATAACTACTGCAGAATTTCATATTGGTTTCGGACATTCTGACAGTCTGAAAAGAAGAGAAAAACTTTTGTTCAAAACAAGATGAAAGAAGTGGTCTTGGTTGATTTGTGAGTCATGGAACCTAGAGCAAGGCTACGTATTTATAGTGCTAGTAATAATTGAGATGGTAACTTTTATTTATTTAACTTTCTAGTTGATACAATCATTTAAGGCCTTGTAGTCATAAAAAATCCCTCCTTGATTTTCACGTGCGATATAATATACTAAACTAAAAATTATTACCGATTCACATTTTAACTTAAACGGTACCTACCGTAAGTATCTTTCAAATATTCTCTGATCATATAATATACAATTTTGTTTATATTTTTGTATCTATATAAGACTATAACGCAGTGAGCTGGAATTATTATCTGGTATCCGGTCTTCGATCCGGTATTCGGTCCTATCCGATCCGTAAAAATCGAATATCTGTGTATTTCGGATCAGGATCCGGATAATGAAATTAAATATTCGGTTATTTTGAATACGGATCCGGATAAAATTTTTTTTTAAATCGGATATCCGTTATCCGTTTATTAAATATTTGTTTATTTTGATAATATTTATTGAAATTCATATTGCATGATAATTTTTTATTTCAGATTGTGATAAAAGAACATGAAAATGGATAACACATAGATATAAAAATAAATTAATTTCTTTATTACTATTTTCTCTTTTGCGATGTAAATTTTTAAACTTTATGTTATTTGAGTGCTACTTAAATGCTTTTTAATTTTTGGTATTTGTAATTTTTGCTATGTTAATACATTTTAATTATATATGTTATCTTATTATAATTTTTAAAAATTGAAGATATTTTTTAAATCAACGAAACCAGATATCCGGTCGGATATCCGTAAATATTCGGTCAAACCGGATATCTGGTCTCCGGATATCCGAAGTTTTCGGATCCGAATCCGAATAGTAAAATTGATTATCCGGCGAATCCGGATCAGGATCCGGATACCTTGAAAAGTCCAGATATCCAGCTCCGTTCTAGCCCTATAACGCACATAGCAATATTCCCAGAACTCGGAAATATATTATTAAGCATTTATGTATTTCGTGGAGATTACGTGTGTTTAATATTATATTTTGTTCTCTCATTTTTTCATTTTTTAATTTTAATTATTTTTAACAATCAACATACAGTATTCGGAGTTTGTATATTTCTAAGGATTATATATTCTGTAGTGAGGATGTATACGATGATATTTAATATGGTATTATGGTATGAAAAGTTTAAAGAGTATGTTTTTTTTACTTAAAATGGTATGGATTTTACGGTGCATCATTTTTAATGTATGGGAGCTTTCATGTTATAATTTCAAATAAGAAAATGTCAGAGTTGTGATTTGTTAACGACATTTTTTTCTTTTTCAAATATTTATCAAAACTACTTGATATCTGGATGAATATTATTCTCTCTCACACGAAAAGTCGGACTGATTTCTTCTTCTTTCCGAAAGCCACTTAAACTTCTGTAGTTTCTATTTAGATGCTTAAACTTGATAGTTTTATAGAGGAAACTTCTGCCAAAAAGCATGTCAATGATACAAGTTTTAAGGAGATGCTCACAAGATTCAAACAACTCGGATATGCAATACGTAGCGGATGATGTATCGAATGGTGGATTACAAAATACCACTCAAACGTATGAAAGCCATTGTGATAAATTTACGAATCTAAATTTCAAAAGGAAAAACACAAAACACCAAGCTTGAAAATAAAATAAAAACTCTGTCTTGTTAACAATTACATGATTATAAGAATGTGGATGATGAGCTTTGTATAGATTCCATAACAGCTAAGACCAAAGCCGGGTCTGAGATTTCTTTGACTATAAGTAAGAGAAAAAATTAGCCCCTTAGTCCTTTATATAAAAAATAATGTAACGAAAAAACATCAGTTTACTTTATTCGATATCAAAAAAGAGTAATATCCATACATTATTTATGAAATATGACTTTTCTTGCATTTTTACTTGCAAACTCATCCATCAAGCTTGTATAATCAAGTTCTTTAACCATAGCCCTTTCGATTGACAATGTTGATATATAGTCCATTCAGTCTTTTTTGTGACATAGTCGATCCTAGATACGATTTTATGAGTTTCAACTTTGAAAAAGTTCTTTCTATATTAGCAACCGAAACTGGAATCGTCATCATTATACAGTATGCAGTCCATGTTGTGGATAACACCTTTCCATTCTTTTCAGAAAATCCAACACCTCAACCAGCTTCTTTATTTCTTTTGGTAAAACATCTCATAGAAGCTTTAATTCCATATATAAATCATTACCATCAACATCAAAATGGACACCATGCGTCAAATAAGCTTCTAGGTTGGCACAAAAACTCATCAAGTTATCCAGTGTTGCTGATTTGAGTTCCTTCAAGTCAAATTGATAACTAAGAGTTTTCAAGGCTCTTTGTAGAGGTTATCAATCCCCTGTCTTGTAGTACAAGGGGTTTATCAATCCATATGTGGTGTTAGACACTAAACTATGTGATCAGGTTCTTAATTCAAGTAAACAAGAGTGATTTTGATTAACTAATGACAACTACAAACTTAAAAACAGGATTAAAGACTAAAGAAGTGATCAAACAAGGAACTAAACAAATGACAAGTGATGAGAATGTATGTATGATGATGAGAAAGGTCTTAGACATGATAGGGGATTAGGGTGCCTTCAGTGATAAACTAGTGAGCTAATGAACCATATGATCAAGCAAACCATTCAACATAAACATCTTTAATTAAGTTAATCCTCTCATGAAGATATTAAATCCTATGCTAAAACAGTTTCTAACCCAATCATCATCAGTGAAACATGAGTTAACAAGCATTAAGAATCAGTTCAATCTGTCATTTAAGCATATAGACAATCATTCTCATGATGAATAACACTTAAACCTCTAACAACCTTGGTTCAGACATTTCATCAAACACTTTTGGTGCATGAAATGCCCAGAATCTAGACCACATATGATTTGTATGGATCTAGCATAGAGAACAAGTTGTAGAGAATGGAATATGCATGATCTAACCCCTAAGCTCACTAATCTACCACTTAAGCACCCTAATCTACATATCTAAGACCTTAATATGGGATTACTCATTAATCATGATCAACACACTAGATCCTTTGCAAGATGTGTTGTTAATCATGATTAGAAGTGTGATTTGATGATAAGAAATGATGAAACAAGATGAAAAATAAACTTCAAATCGATATTAAACTCAAAAGCAAAGTGTAAGCAAGTGGTCTTTCACAAAAAGGGAAAAGAGACTAGAAATGGATCAAAAGTTGTCTCCAAATTAGGTCTAAAAACTATATATAGATGCCTTGGACGAACCGGGTCAACCCGGAACAAACCAGGTACTGACCCGGTCTTGGTAGGTAAAGAAGGGGTTTGCCATGGTCTAGCAAGTTCTGGTCAGCCCGTGGCAAGTGGCCGTGGCAAAGTCTTGTATCTTCATGTTCTTGGATGAATATTGGTGTCACGGTCTAGCAAGTCTGAGTCAATACCCGTGGCAAGTGGTCGTGTCAAACGCCGAATGTATGTAAAAGGTTGCCACGGTCAAGTCCTAGACCGTGGCATTCAGACCGTGTCAATCGCCGAAGGTGTGTAAGATGTTGCCACGGTCAAGTCCTAGACTGTGACATTCAAACCGTGTCAAGTGCCGAATGCTTGTAAAATCCTTCCTGGCCAAATGTTACTTTGCCACAGTCAAGTGTAGACCGTGGCATGAAGATCGTGTCAAACGCCGAAGGATTGCAAATAAGTGCCACGGCCAAGTGTGGACCGTGGCATTCCATCGCGGCATGTTTCACTTAGCTTGCATCATTCAGGGCTGTTTGGACCACTTCGCATTCCGGAGAGTGTAACTTCTGAGATACTTGTCCGAATTGTGTGCTTCCGGTTTCAAAAGACACAGGACTCATATATCTCCAAATTTGGTGAAGAAAGCTTCGGTGCTTGGGAAGTGGAAGGCTTCCTGGAGGGCTCATCTTCGCAATGCAGTTACACGATCAGAGAAGGGCGTCTAGACATGTGTCCATTCCGGAGACCGTATCGTCCTGCTCATAGCTTAGAATTGAATGATCTCGGATGTTCTGGAAAGAGGACTCAAATGTCTCTGATTCCCATGAAGGCCCCGGAAACTGAATCGGCCTGGAAGTGCACCGTGCTTCGCGTTCTTCAAAGCTCATCGGCTTGATCCAAAACGGCAGCGAGACAGGAGTTTATTCCGACGAGTTTAACTTTCTGCTCACGCGTCCGAATTGAATGATTCCACTTGCTCCGGAACCGTAATCCAATCCTCTCCAACTTTGATGAATCACCCGACAACTGAATCGGACCGGAAGGTTCCCTGGACAGGCGATTTTGGAAACATTTCTGCACCCAGAGATTTTGGCCGAGAAATCCATTAGCCAGTACGTGTTTTGGCCGATAAAATCCACCCGCGGTACGCGTTTTGGCTGAGAAAAACCTTCCTGGTGCGCGAGAATGGCCGATAACCTCCAAAAACCCAATTTTACCAATTTTTCAAGCCTTGATTACCATTCCACTTCCTGGAATCATCTTTCCAGCTCCAAAGAGCTCCAAATAGCTCCAAATGCACTTGTTAAACACTCAAAACATGCAAAGACTCATTGGGACCTAATGCATCTCCTAAGTTCTAAAAAAAACCCTAAGGACCTAAAATGCATGAAATAAAACATGATTTGGAATGAAATATGCAACCTAAATGATGCAAATTATGAACATATCAACTCCCCCACACTTGTCCTTTGCTTGTCCTCAAGCAAACAAGAACAAATGAGAGAGAGAGGTTGAATGCATGGGAGTTCACATTTCCTTTTTGAGAGAGGTGATCACAATGAGAATTCAAGTTCATGCTCAATTATGCAATGCAAAGCCATACTCAGATATATATCAACTCAACAAGGAATCTCCACAAGTTCTTCACTCTCTCAACTCTTTCACATTCATTAAGCTTTTATCAGGTGAATCTAATGATGCAATGTTTAAACAAGCTAGCTTGGC